TCCTGGCACCTCCAACTTCCTTGGATTCCAAATGTACTTTTGCCCTTACTCTTGCAGCTTCATGCATTCCTGCTTCAAGGGTTCTTTGCATACACCAACACCCTGTCACATACTTTTGCCTGAATTTCCAGGCTTTGTATCAAAATCTGGGTGGAAGCCTCCATAGTCAGCATTACTCTTGTATTCTGCATGCCTGAACAACCAGCTCTATGTGGCTAATGCTAAGGTCTGCCACCAGTTTGAACAATAGCCAGGCCCCCTTGAACTATGGCTATAGTGGCCTCTGAGTGCCTGGCTGGCTGAGCACAATGTAATGAATCCTAGGGAACCAATTGCCCACATAATCCTTCTGGAGCAGAGCACCCTGGGGTTATCTTATGAAAACAAAGTCTTTGAAGGCAATTTCCCTTTACCCTGTTATAGCTTTGAGATTAGAAGGGCAGGGTATGGCTAATTCCTGAGATGCTATCTAGCTTATTTTTACACTATTCTTATGAAAAGTACTTGGCTTCTTTTTAGTGCCGATCTTTTCAACCACTACATGCTCTTTTGCCCCAAGTCTGCTTCCTCTCTGGGAAAGCTTCACATCATTCAGTTCTGCTTTTGCTTCTGAGTCTCACTATAAAACTGGATGAAAGCAGCCAAGAGAACCCATGCCACAACCTGAATATGGAGCTTCCTTGAAATTTCTGCCATCATATTACTTAGTCTGTTGCCCTTAATCTCAGTCTTATAAAAAGTCCCTGTACATAGGCAAAATGAAGACAAATTTTTTCTAGAGCACAACATATGAGGCACCTAGTTCAACTGCCAGTGAAATCCTCGTTTCCATCTTAAACCTCCTGAGCCTTATCTTTACGGTCTGCATTCCCACCAGCATTCTAGTTGAGCTCTGACCAGCATCATACATCAAGCACTTCTCTCAGTATTCTAGAGTTTTGCTATTCTACATATCCAAATAACTCCCTCAAACCAGTTCCAAAAGACACTAAACCACATTGTCAAGTACACTCACAGGAACTACCAATTCTTGTTCCCAGTTTCCTGCATTAGCTACCTCATCACTGGGACAAAATACCCAACATTTACAACTTAAAGGACAAGAGGTTTGTTTAAACTCACAATTAGAGTGAGTTTAGTCCATAGCAAGCTGGCTCTGAGGCCAAAATGGCATAGCAGAATGGCATTTCAGAGAATAGCTATTCACATAATGACCAGGAAGCTGAGAGACAAGAAAGGAGCTTGGGTAGAGAATTTATCCTTCCAAGTTATAACCCTAGTGAGTAGGCCCTTCCCACCAGGCCCCATGTCCAAATGTGAGACTTTAGAGGATATTTATAATCTAAACCAGAACAACGATTTCAATAACAATCATTAAAATGTATATATTTTTGTGTTTGACTTAAAAGATGTCCCAGTCATCCCATAACCATTTGATGGGTGGCTTGAGTAGAAAATATAGTGATGTAAGTTAAGTCACAGCACGAGAGCTCACAGCACTATACATCATGCTCACATGTATGTCTAGTGCGCAGGCTTTGTATGAATCACTTATATATATATATATATTTCATTGCTAACAAATAATAGGGCTAAAATGCTTCTTACTTCCTTATTTCCCTTGGTCATCCTGTTTAGGTAATCTGATTCTATCAAAAGTTGGTTTGAATAGCTCCTATAAGCAAAATGTGGGAATCTCTGAGTACCATACCAATTAATGACAGTGACTGAATACAATATATTCAATAAAAAGAAAGATTGAAAATGCAGAAAAGGAATGGGGAAAAAAAGAATTACAACAGATTATGTTCAGGTACAAATTCCCTATGATAACTATGATTACTATGTATGGTATGTACTAATATTGTACTATATTCATTCTTCTTATATTTTATTGGTTGTATGTACTAATATGTACTGATGTACATATATGTACTAATAAAGTATGTACTAATGTATGTACTAATAAAATGTACTAATATGTACATGTACTAATGTAAACTATGTACTAATAAAAATTTAATAAATACATAAAGAAATAGGAATTCATGAGTTCATATTGATATGGATTAATTGGGACTGAAATAAATGCTCTTATAATAGAATGTTAGGAAGTAAACACAGAAGAAATTGGGTCTAAAAACTCACTCTTTGACAAATATAACAATAATAGATTCAGGTAAGAATCACTATTGCTTGGCCAGGTGTGGTGGCACATGCTGGTAATCCCAGCACTCAGGAGGCTGAGACAGGAGGATTACTGTGAGTTCAAGGTCACCTTGGATTACACAGGGAGTTCAAGGCTAGCCTGAAATAGAGTGAGACACTGGCTCAAAATAAAAAGGAATCACCATTGCTTGCTAAACCTAGTATACCAAAATTTGATGCAAACGAATACATACACATTGTCTTTAAATAACTGTTCCTTCATAAGAGAAAAATAGCAAGTGTCAGATGTGGAAACTCCAGAGATACTACCTCAAATAGCCAAAGTCAACATTACCAATTGTTGGGCAAAATGAGATTTGCACTTCCTAAAATAATGCACCGAGATATATTCCTTCTAAAAATGAAAACTCACAATTTACCAGTGAAAAACCATCAACAGGGCAAAATTAAGAAGCAATCTGAAAAAAAGGTAGCCTTTACACATTCAAAATATAAGGGCCAGAAAAGGCAAGACAGATTATGAAATTATGTGTTCTTGACTTATAGGGACTAAAGAGACATAACAACTAAGTGCTGTGTGAAATTTTTATTGCTTTATTTAGGTTTTATGAGACAGGGTCTCACTGTAAAGTTCAGACTGGCCATGAACTCAGTATGCAGCCCAGGGTGGCCTGAAAGTCACCTATGGAGAAAACAGGTGTGTGCTACCATGCTGGCCATGAAATTTTCACTTATACCATGAAAAGGATTTTTTGCTACAAAAGATATGATCTGGGCAACCAATAAAATATAAGCAGAATGAATATATAGAGAATAAATTTTTACAAATGTCAGTTTCCTGTTTTTGCAATATTGGTAAATAGAGAATATAGTCATATTCAGAGATAAGGCTTCATCACTTCTGAAACTTTGTCCCAAATGATTCAAAAGATCAATATGTATGTAGAGAAAATATATGCATTAAGAGAGAAAAGAGGGCCTGGGGATTTAGCTCAGCGGCAAAAGTGCCTGCCTGGCAAGCGCAAGGTTGTGAGTTCGGTTCCTGGTACCAGAGAAAAACCAAAAAAAAAAAAAAAAAAAAAGAGAGAAAAGAAAGAAAACAAGCAAATTTGATATAGTTACAGAGCCAACTGATGAGTATGTCGCAGTTCTTTATAAAATGTTTCTTTTTTATAAACCTCAAATTATTTCATCATTCAAAAATTACTTTTCAATGACCTGAAATGTCACTAGAACTATAATGAAAAAAATAAAAAACAGAGAATCACAGATCAGAAGCGGGAAGACAAAAGAAAAGGAAAAGAGAACAAAAAAACTTGAGTCTGGAAAAACAGTATCAAAAAGCATCACAACGGAAATCTGATGTAATACAAGCACTTGTATGTGATGGCAGCTCTCCATTTTGCAGGACACAATGAGCCCACATATAAAATAAAATTAGCCATTAAGTAGAATACTTAAGTTCAGATAGACATGGAATATCCATTTTAGCCCATGTACTCTTCTATGTATTTTTAGATAAAGAGTAAGGGCTGTTTGCATATACACCCAATGAAAAATAATTTCAAAGCTCCCACACATTCAGCACGAGAAGGTAGAAACACTACCACCACCCAGGGAGGTGCAACCATGAGCAGCCATGTCCTTATCACTAGCAGATTACTTTTCCTCTCAGTTTTTCCTTTCAAAATGTCAAGCAGAAATGAAAATATAGGCACTTGACTTCTGAGTTCAAAGTTAAGTTTTTAAATAACATTTACCCAAAGTGAAGAGGAAGAAAAGGTAAGACATGATCTACTCAGACCGGTGACTGACAAGCTCCCCTTTTCAGCTTCTGCTGGAGAAGGGAGTGTTGACAGTGTGGCAGCAATGGCTCTGGTGTTCATTCTTCAGTCCATTTAACTGCGTGTTTACTCAACATGAAATAGTAGTTGAATATGTGCTATGTTCCAGGCACCGTGCTAGGAAAACTCAACAAGAATGAGACACAGTATGTCCTGGTTGAGCTTAACCAGAGGATGTTGGCAATTATGAAACAATGACCACACAGTTTGAAAATTTTCATAATTGTAAGGTTTCTATGTAGACAACATATGGTACAATGTGTTAATGAACAAGTGTTTTCTAACTCACCATTACAAGACCTCTTTATGAGCATCATGATATATACATGTTAAATTATCTATGAAGAATGAAAATAGCACATGCTTACTTAATAATAACTAGTACAAAGACACCATGTAATCTTTTTGCTTTCCAATGATATTAATAGCAAATGCTCTCATGATATAAATACATATAACTATTTAAAAATCATTTGGAACTATCAATCATTCGTTTATTTAAGTCTTATTTCATCTTAATGCAAAATTTTGCAGAAAGTCCTGAAGAGACTACGAAGAATGTGAATTGTTTGCTGCTAGCACTTTAGCATTCTTATGAGGATGGGCACTGACTGTTCAGTGAGTTTGGCATTACACTAAAACATGTTGATCCAAAAATAGCTATAGTCTCTCTCCTCAAAGACCTGAGCATCTAGCAAGTACAGACAATCATCAACACATAAGCAATATAATTGTGTATGCTGTGAAAAGTACTGTAAGCAAAATTAAAATACCTAGAGTAGTTTGTGGGCAACAATTCAGTCAATTGCCAATGGAAAAATCAGGGAACCTTCTCAGAAGTGGCTCCTTATCAAAAATTAAGTCAAGTGCTGTTCTTATACACTTGACATCAGCAATTCCCATATTGCATGTGAACATAACTGAAGTTAATAGAGTACATGTCATATGACTCAAATGGTGACAAGTGCATATAAATCTTATACTTACCTCCACAAGAAGTTGGTAGTGTTTTCTGCCTAAGTAACCTCGCCACCATTTTTGAATAATTGTCGCTATTCTGTGTAAATGCCTAGGATTTAAAAAAAATGTGTATTAAGATATATACATTGAAACTGGAATGTCTCTTTTTTGCTTTATTCTTACTCAATTGTACTGGAGATTGAACCCCAGTGCAACCTGCTAGGCAAGTGCTCTAACAATAAATCTGTATTCCCAGCTCTTTTTGTCTCATTTATTATTATTACTACTATTATTATTGTTATTATTGTTACCATTGTTATTATTTTGATATAAAGTTTCACTAGGTATTCTGGCTGGTCTTGAACTTGTGAACCTCTTTTCTCAGCCTCCAGAGTAGCTCAGATTACAGACTTGAGTCATCATGCCTAGCTCAGGAATGTTCCTGAACCCTTTGTTTAGAATATAATCTCCTAGACCCCTGAGAGAGCCGAGCTGAGCCCCAGACAGCTTCGGGAGCCACAGTGAGCCACCTCCATCACTCCCCCACTGGTCTGGGGGCCAGGACAGCTTTGGCAGTCTCAGGAACAATGCCCTGAGTCTGCCACACACTCAAGGGAGCTGAACTGAATCCCAGAAAGCTTCAGCAGCCTCAGTGAGTATACCTTTCCCCCTCCATCACCAGTATAGGACCAGAGATGGGTCCCGGACAGCTTCTGGAGCCTCAGTGACCATGCCCTGCCTGGCTACACCTTTGCAGGGGACAAGCTGAGCTCCAGATGGCTTTGGAAACCTCAGTGAGTGGTCCCTGCACTTCCCCCACCAGTGTGGGAACTGGCCTGGGACCTGGACAACTTGGGGAATCTCAGTTGCCACACCTCCTCCTGCACATTGTGGGAACCAGGTTGAGCCCCATAAAGCTTTGGAAACAACAGTGAGTGACCCCAACCTTTGCCCACTAGGGTGAGGGCCAGGCTGAGCTGCAAACAGCTTTCAGGAGCCTCCGTGACCACACCCCACCCCACCCACACCTTGATCCCCAGACAGTTTTGAGAATATTGGTGAGCTGCCCCCAGCCATCCCCCTTTGGAGTGGGAGCCAAGCTAATTCCCGGACAGCTTGAGTCTGCACCCCACCCCCACACACCCTCTCAGGAACCATACTGAGCACCAGAGACCTTTGGATCCTTGCCCTGCCGTTCCCACATGATCACAGGAGTGAGGCTGAGCTCCAGGGAATCTCTGAATCTTTAAAAATGACAAAATGAAGGTGCAAAATGGAATCTCAGACCTCCACTCCACCAGAACAAGTCCAGGAGACACTGACACAGAACAGCTTGAAAGTCATACACCTGAAATTTCTCAAATGCTAGCAACTGAAGTAAAGAAAGAAGCCCATCAGGCCATAGAAGAAATCATTTCAGAAATAATCTCTTAGGTAAAAAAAAGAAATGACAACAATAATGAAAGAATTGCTCAGCACATCTAAAGAAGACAGACATAAAAAAATTAGAGGAGCATAGAAAAATGATGAAAACATTGAATGAACAATATAAGAAAGAATTAGAATGCATAAAACAGATTCAAACAGATACAGAGGAAATTAAAAATTCCATCAAAAGCTGGCATAAACACTTGAATGAAGCTGAAGATGGACTTTTAGACCTTGAAGACAGCATTTCAGCTAACAATCATGGAAGGAGGGATCTTTTAAAAATAATGAGGAACCAAGAAATAACAATTCAACAGCTGCAAGATGTTTCAAAGAAAAACAATCTAATATTGAGAGAAGTCAACAAAACAGCAGGAGTCAATACAAATGACATAAAAACATTATTTGCACAAGTAATAACAGAAAATTTCCCAAGCATCAAATAAGGATCTGACATCTGTACAGATAAATGAGGCATATAGAACTTTAATTAGCCATAACCAAAATAAATCCATATTGTTATGGTTTGTGTTTGAGTGTCCCCCCAAAGCCTCATGAGGCCATGGTGCAGGCTTTTAGAGTTTGATTATGGATTTGAAAGCTACACCCGCCCTGGGGTGGATAGTTTGCATATGTAAGGGAGAGGAAAAGGGGGCTTGAGGCCATTCCTCCCCCATTCTGCCCAGGTATGTGCTTGTTGCTTTGCTGTGTTCTGCTGCCATGAGCTATAGCTCTCTGCCATGTGCCAGTCTGCCTTATAATCTGCCAAGTACAGACTGAAACCTCCACAAAGTGTAAGCAAAATAAACCTTTCCTTCCTTAATTTTGGGTGTCAGATATTTTGTCCCAGCAATGAGAGAAAAGTAACCAAGACATATATCCAGACATATAATAATTAAGATCCCAGAAAATCAGCAAAATAACAGAATATTAAAAGCTGTAGAGAAAACAAACATATCAACTATAAAGGAAAGCCCATCAGAATCACAGCACATTTCTCAACACAAACCTTATCAAGTCAAGAAGAGCTTGGAGTGAAGTATTTCAGATCCTGAAAGAAAACAACTTCCAACCTAGGCTTATGTACCATGAAAAATTATCCTTAAAAATCAATGGAAAAATAAAATATTTCCACGATAAAGAACAACTGAAGAAATTCATGAGTGCCAAACCAACCCTACAAAGATTACTAAAAGATAGTCTAGAAAGTGATAAAAAAAAAAAAAAGACTACAACTTCAAGAACAACAACAGCAAGGAACCACCAAGCAGAGCAAGCAATTAAACAAAGGGAAAAATTAGGGAACCAACAGCAGGAAAATAACATGACAAAGATAAGCCAATACATATCAATTATAACCATCAATGTAAATGGTCTCAATTCACCAATCAAAAGAAGCAGACTGGCAGAGTGGATCAAGAAACAAAATCCAACAATATGCTGTATACGAACAACACATTTAACTCAAAAGGAAATTAATAGAACAAAAGTCAAAGGATGGAAAACAATCCTCAATGCGACAGGAACCCAGAAAAAAGCAGGGGTAGCTCTTCTATTTGCAGACAATGTGAACTTAAAACCAAGAACAATCAAAAGAGATAAAGACAGTCATTACCTACTTGTTAGGGAAAATTAAAACAGGAAGAGATAAAAATCATAAATATCAATGCACGAAATACAGAAGCACCTAACTATATGAGACAAATTTTAACAGACATGAAAAATCAAATAAGGAGAAATACAATCATAATAGGGAACTTTAACACCCTATTGTCACAAAGAGATAGATCAACTCAACAAAAAATCAGGAAAGAAATAAGAGAACTAAAGTAAACTTGTGAACAAATGGACTTAGTACACCTTTACAGAGTGTTCCACCCAATGACAGGATACATACTCTTTGCAGCTGCACATGGAGTGTTCTTTAAAATACAACATTTACTAGCCCATAGAACATGGTTAAGCAAATGCAAAGGAACTGAAAGTATCCCATGCATACTATCAGACCATAGTGCAATGAAATTGGAAATTAATCACAAAAGAAACTGCAAAACCTCCATGAACATATGGAAATTAAATAACACCCTCCTGAACAACCAATGGGTCATAGATGAAATTAAAGAAGAAATTAAACAATATTTACAATCAAAAGAAAATGCAGATACAACTTACAGGAACCTATGGGATGCAATGAAAGTGGTCCTCAGAGGGATATTTATAGTGCTGAATTCACACATAAGAAAAACAGACTGAGCACAAT